TTACATGAAACGGGTGCCACCTCGCGTCCTCAAGACAAACGACAAAAAACAACTTCTCTTGCAGTGGAGAGGATTTCTACCGAACAACAACAAAAGACAGTTTTGCCCGTTCCCGCAATCGAGAAGGCATATGGTGAGGTCTCCGAGTTTTCTCCTCAGACCATCAAAAGTGAAGCCGAAAGAGTACTTTTGAATTTTTATTGGCAAAGGATTTCCCAAAAGATCATGAATACTTCATTTCAACAACTTTCCGAGATAAAGCCAGCGATCGAGAAGGTGCTCAAAGACATGCAAGCTTACATGAAAGATATATCACCGTTGGAGAAGCGCTTGAAGTCATATTTTGAAGATGTTTCGCAATACACAAAGGTCAAATCGGATTTCACACAGAGAGAGACACAAGAGATGCACGAGAAGTCTCTTTCGTTTGCGCAACGTGATCTTTCCGAGGCTGAACTGCAAGAGAGTGAGCTCGTCGAAACGGCGAACAATGTGAAGGCTGAAATTCTTGAAATCACCAAGCAACTAGAAGAGCTGAGGAATAAGAAAGAATCAGCAAGTTTATCCCTTGGTAAAGTCGAAGAAGATTTGGCCAAGATGCAGCAGGTTGTGGCTATGAAAAGAGAGAATATTTCTCGTCTTGAGAATACACCATTCTTATCTAACCATGAGATGGAAGCCTTGGAGAAGATGGAAGCACTACTTGAAGAATCTCGGCGGGAGCTAGAAGCTTTTGATTTGTTCGCTTAAGTGCTACCCCTTTTTTTTTTTTTTTTTTTTTGTGCTCATGTCGTTTTACTATCTTTCGATGTAAAAGAACATTCCATCCTTTTTTATGCAATATAATTTTCTCTTGCTTCTCATAAGGCCTTACTATCGTCTTGGCATCCTTTTTTCATCATTATGCAGCAAATAATAACTTTGGATGATTACATCGTGCACACTTTTGGATCCGCCTGATTTTACAAGTTGGTTAACTTAAAAGAAAATTAACCGAACTTGCTTAGAATAAACGCAGTTACGACGAACATTTTTTTTTTTGGTTTGACTGAACTTAGAATATGGGTCTAAGCTGCCTACGTATCCTCCTCAAAGGGATCAAGTCATAACGTAGTTCAAGCGAACAACTTAGAACAAATTTTTTTTTTTTTTTTTTTGTTTTGACTGAACTTAGAATATGGGTCTAAGCTGCCTACGTACCCTCCTTAAAGGGATCAAGTCATAACGTAGTTCAAGCGAACAACTTAGAACAATTTTTTTTTTTTGTTTTGACTGAACTTAGAATATGGGTCTAAGCTGCCTACGTACCCTCCTTAAAGGGATCAAGTCATAACGTAGTTCAAGCAAACAACTTAGAACAATTTTTTTTTTTTTTTTTTTTTTTTTTTTTTTTTTTTTTTTTTTTTTTTTTTTTTTTTTGACCGAACTTAAAAAATGGGGCTAAATTGCCCACCTACCCCCCCCCAAGGGATCAAGTCTTAAAGGATTTTAAGGGAAAATTTCCCTTTAAATTATTTTGGTCCCCTAACCAAAAAGAAAAGTTTCTT